CTCTCCCCCCCCCCCCCCTCCCTCTCTCCCCCCCCTCCCTCTCTCTCTCTCTCCTTCTCTCTCTCAACCTATCTTGGCTACTATGTAGAAATTACAAGACAGTTCATTTACAGATTATTTACAGATTAAGGGGGGGTGTCGTTTTTATGTTGAGCCTGACCTGGGCCACAGCAGTGGTGACATGAACTTAGGGGAACTTAGGCTCATTTCTAGCCTCTGATCCAAAGCCAGCATTCAGGTTTTGATTAGGTTTTAAAACCACTGTGCCCCGTTTGTTGCATCACTTCTTAATAACCACACCTAAGAAAGAGTCCCTCAGTCTGCTCTCAAAGTGTTTTAGTACGTATCATTACACATTAACAGCCTTAAACAAAGCAGTCAGACACTGAGCAGAATATTAGGTTTCATGTTTTGAAACTTGAAAGGTAACAGTCGCACTAGTCGTGTGTTATCAGTAATTCTATCAAGACGTCACAGTGAATTTAGACAGTGACATTGTATATCTGTTACATTACTGTATGTTCCTTTAGAGTGTTTTGGGGGTTTTGCTCCTCACCCACCTCATTCTGGTCTTTCCACAAAATGTCGTTCAAATCACCGCTGTGGATGCCTCGGACCTGCAGGCAACACGGTTAGTTATGAATTGATAATGGGCAGTAAATGCAACACAATATCTCCACCTCACTATTGACCACAGCAGTTTATGTAATGGTTCCATCATAAAGACACCTGACTGGTCAGACTGTCTGAGCTGTGAATGGAGTCACAAGAAAATCTTTGCGTCCCAGACGTTAAAGTCATGACCAGTTTTGTTTCTCTCACATAGCTGCACCAAGGATTTGGACTGATGTTCACGCACATCAGTCTGATCTGTTGTCCTTTAAACAGACCATCGGTGGTGAGGATCACCTTCTGTGACTGAGCAGCCAGGAGAGTCACTGTCGACAGGAACGTTGTGGTAGAGCTGCTGATGAATGATTAAGTCACTGAGGACTCAACAACCAGCACTCCTTTTTGACTCCCCATCTATTTTCTTTATAAACTCACAATAACATTTCTTCTTTTACTCGCAACCTGAAAATGATTTATCATTAACTGACTTAAACATTACATGTGATAACGGGACTAGAGGAGGAACATTGAGGAAACAACTTGTATTCAGTTGTCAGGACAATAATGGGATTATCTGAGTGAATATAAAATGAAAAGACAAGTCTTTACCTTTCTTAAAGCGCTGCCATCTTCCCACTGATCGTAAGGACTGGCATCTGGACAAAGGGCACGTGAGAAGACGTGAACATTTTCACTCACTGGACAATTATTCACCAAAATACACAACTGGTAACATATGAAATATACCAGATAGTTTTCAATTAGAGCAACTTTCCAAATTCTTGATTCAAACATCTTTGACTTCACTATAATAGAAGTACATCAGCAACTCGATGCAGGAGCAGGCTTAAAGTTTCTAATCGTCTGGTTAGGAAACGACCCGCTCTACCTCCTGAGCCACAGCCGCCTACAAAAACACCAAAGTGCTGATGCCAGTTTCAAACCCAAACTGAGTCTTGACCTGCAGTGTCCAACTTAAATGGTAACACAGTCAGGATGTGTCTGGTACATCATGACGTCTCTGTGAGTGTGTTACTCTGCAGTGATGGAAACAACTAAACACAATTAGGTGCTTCCTATATTTATGTATAATTCTGAGGTACTTTTACTTTATGTGAGTATTTTGATTTCAATTCCACTGATGCTATTGTACATTCTAATACTTCTGTACTTTTACCACTAACTGAGAACAGTTTACACTTTGATACTTCACCTGTCACTTTCTCTAATAAGTCATATTGTTCTATGTTGACATAGTTAAACCTGTGACCGTTTTAACATTAGTTACCAATAACTAACCATTTAAACGTGTATGTTATTAGACTGTGGTAGCTTTTCTTGGGGTTTTTCCTCCACATGGAGTCTCACTGGGAGTTTAATGGCAGGTTTCCTCCAACTTTATCATCATTTAATTCCCAGCGTCACCATGAGAGATTAGAGCTGTAATGTTTTTATATCTAAGAGTTAGAAGTTTGAAACTCCAGGTGGGTTAGTTTAAGTGAAGTGTTGTGAGAAAGAGAATTCCACATCAACCAATTTTCAATTTTTGGCCACATAATTAAAAAAACTATTGTTTTAAGAGACCTGTTAGTCCTTTATGATCACTCACCTGTTTTGCTCCAGCATCCAACAAACCAGAAAAAGCAGAAAAGAAAAAGTTGTCTCACAATCGGCAGACTCATGTCTCAGCGTTTCTTTCTCTTCGTGCCCTCTTTACGTGCGCGCTTCTTGGAGAAAATTGTTGCGCCCACTTGTTTCGGCTCAGCTCTTTGATCTCGGTCCCCAGCAGCAGTTTAAAAAGCACGCACCTTCGTGCGCTGACAGACATCCCCTCGTACGCAGAGGTGACCAATCACGCTCTCCGCGCACCTGTTTGTGCAAGTCCAGCGCACCCCGCAGCCCCATCTCTCTCTCTCTCTCTCTCTCTCTCTCTCTCTCTCTCTCTCTCTCTCTCTCTCCCTGTCTCCCTCCAGCCCCACGCACTTTCACGCGCACTGCACACGACAGTTTTCTGGGAATATTACTGTCCTGAGAACACTGTGGTGACGTCTGTTAGGATCTAAATCTAACTTAAAGCAATATTGTCTCATTAAAAACACACAACTACAGTATAGTGTAGAGCCTTAGAGGCCAAACTGCACAGTTTCCTTCATGGAAGATGTATTAAAGGAAAAGACTGTCATGTCCTCTGATGTAGATGAAGGGTGCTAAAGGAAAAGACTGTCATCATGTCCTCTGATGTAGATGAAGGGTGAGCCTTCACATGCTTTTTAGTCAAACTGAAAGACGTCACTCAATATGTCTCAGTCATCTGGTCCAGATATTAAAGCTGAGATATTTATTTTATTTGGACTTTCTGTCCACATGTGGCTGTTTAGTGTCATTATTATGGATCATTTAAAGCAGAGCTGATACGGAACGTGATGTCTCATCTGAAGAAGGCTGTAGATTTCAGCTTTGAGCATGACTGAGACTATGAATATATGCTGAGGATGACAGTGTATCCATGACTTCAAGTTGATCATCATCTGACATAACAGGTTTATTTCCTGTTATTTTGTGGAGACAATTTCCTGACATAAGGAGGGAACCTGTCATCACATTATCATTATTTTGAAACAAGGTAATTGGAGCACATCATCCAGTGTCCTGCTCCATGTCTGGAACTTGAAACAACACCGGTGGGGGGGTGGGGGGTTTATTAGGCAGATAGTGAACATTCAGTCCTCAAAGTTGACATGTTGGAAGCAGAACAAATGGGCCAGTGTAAGGATGTGAGTGACTTTAACAAGGGCCAACCTGTGATGGTGAGATGACTGGGTCAGAGCATCTCCCAGAGTCGGGGGCTGTAGTGGTGATATCACACCTAGAGCGGTGAGGCTGTTGGACTGGTCTAAATAATTCTCTCTAACTCGTCCTCATTACCAGTTTTCACTCCTTTTACACAAGTTTTTCACTAAAATGTAGACACATCTGTGTCTAGACACAATTCTGAGATTAAAGTCAGAATTCTAGAATGTTGACATTCTAGTATTCTGCCTTTAATCTCAGAAGTACGGGTACCTGTAAGGATCCAGGTTCAATGAGTCAGTCAGTGCCTTTGAGTCATGCTGGAGAGGAGCTATGTGCTGCCCAAAATGGGATTTAAGTGAGTCTTTGCGTGGTCAATGAGTCCCAGAGGAAGCTAGACCTTAGGATGGGTTTGATTAGCACATGATACAGCACTTCATGTTGCATATTCTTAAATAATTTGTGTTAACTTGCCACACAGCAATACTACAGCATAACAGTAATGCTATGTGGCTGCTTTACAATGTGGTTATGCCTGTAACTCTCTGTAATTAAACACACACGGCCTTCGTCTTCAACAACCACTAACATCCACCAACAGGTTCTGGAGTTTCCACAGATTAGATACTGAGGACATTCAGGTCACCGCTCTTGGATGCTGAAGTTCAGCCATCCTGGTTTTTGAACATTGCCTGTGTTGACTTAAGCACAAACAGAATATGCTACTATATTATATATGCACTTTAATATTTTTGTTTTCGTTAATGTCTAACTTCAGCCTGGACTGCAGATTGAAATGAGGAACAATATTGCACATTTGCATCATAATTAAATTAATGTGATTTAATCCTGATTTATTTATAAAACTAGTATAAAATAAATATAACTCCTGTTGTAGGACAGAAACGCTTTCATTTGCTGCTATACGAGTTTCAGACATGCAGGTCCAAAGACAAACTGACTATTGTTTTATTTAACCGATCAGATAACAGACCTGTTGTCAGATTGTGCTCCGATGTTGACACTATATGTTCTTTTTGGGGATTAACTGCTCAGATCAGGTAGACCGGGCTCAGAGCTGGCGCTCACATTAAAGCAGGGAATCACATTTCCTGTGACACTGACACCTGTTTTTAAAAATAAAAGCTGACCTTTCAGGTAGCCTAAGGACAACCTCCACAATATGGCCTGATTTCAGACTGCTTACTGCCAAATACAGTGGCAGTTATCAAGCTTGGCTAAAGCCACGGCTGCTCAGCGCAACAGCACACAATAGTTGCTCAAACAGCAGACAGACAAAATCAGACTAACTGGTGAGGAAGGTGGAACGTTTACATGTCATGTCCACTGGCATCTAAACGTAACGTATCAAAACAGGCCACATGCATCATTAATAGGAATGTGAAATGATTTGCCAGTGTCAAGTTTCCCTGCCCTTGGCACTTCCTTTTCTCCTAAGAGACAAGAACACTCAGAACACCTGAGTGGGTACAGTGTCCACACTTAAAGAGCACCTGAGTGGGTACAGTGTCCACACTTTGATTCTGGCTGTGCACCCTTGTTGCATGTTGCCCCTTCTCTGTCATGTTTCCTGCCTGCATCCTCACTATCTAGTGTCAAAAAGGCAAAAGGAAAAAAAAGGAAAGTAGAAGAATTAAATATTGTCAAAACACCTTTTGTGCTAAATGCTTTTTAATCAACATAAGAGGAAAATTGGCTTATTTTTTTGAGAGCGAGTTTATTTAATCTGGTTTTATTACCTTTTACATGACTGTGACTAAGAAGTGATACATCCAAATCATCCTTATCTGCAGACTGAAGAGAGCTACTCAGCAGACTGATTGAGGCAGCCTCCTTGTCATGTGGCTGAGATAAAAAGCAATAAACTCGAGCGCTGTTCACTCTTGAATCTTCCCAGCGTGCAGCACATTTGAAGATAATCACCGTCCATCTTGTGTCAGTGGCCTGCACAAAAACAAAGGAAATAGAAATAACGGATCCACACAGAAGCAGCTGAACAGCTTCTTCAGCTTTTTTGTTTTTTATTTTGCAAGATGCACACGCTCCATTCAGAAACACTTAAACAACCACAGAGCTCCATGTGGAATATGAAACATAGTGACTGTCACAGAAAAGATGTATTTTCTGTTCCTTCAAATGCCAAAAACTGTTTTATATGGGTTTTATGTTCATATTCATGATTTCATATACAATACTGCATAGCCATTTTCCTTCTACAAATCAAATGAGGAGATATGTTATTTCAGCTACAGTCTTTGGTTGGATTAGGACATATAGCCCCAAATAGGTTTAAAATCTTTTTTATACTGCGATAGACAAACGGTTAGAGGAGTCTTTAAGGATTCTGGAAATGCCTTTGAAACAGTAGTAAATGTTAAACTTTACTGGACAGAAGGCTTTAATATCTGATACAGATGTTCATGGTCCTCAGAGACTCTAGCACCACCATGACATTGACATTTGTAGTTTAGAGTGTCTGAGCTGCTTTACCTAAGTCCTATAGGTGGAAACCATGAATTACTTTGGTGATCCACATCACTTCATCCAGTTTAGAGGTTCCTAGTCACATGGTCCACTGACTTTTGTGATGTGAAACAGTCAGATCACCTCAGTATCTACAGCAGTAAATGAATGCATCACCGTTGACACATTCAGTACTGATCATCTTCCGTCCAATAGTGCGTTCAGACTGCTGCTGTTCCAAACTGTTTAGTTCAGTACAAAAGTCATGAGTAACAGGCACTGTCAGCCACCAGAGGAGGGGTTGGGGGGGTGTAGGCTCCACTGCAAAAATCTGGTTTTGCTCCGTGATAATTGTGTTTCAGTGTGGTCGGTTTATTGCCATAATGCTTGTGTACAATAAAATTAGTGTAACTCTTGTATTTATCACACCTCATTAGTCATAAGTAAATAAAACCAGTCAAGTTAAAACAAAATAAAATAAATGATGTGACTCCCATATCATATCCACATGCCAACTGGGTATGAACTGTTGTTATAAGGTCATGTCATGTTATGGAGACTTCTAAACAAATGCATTTCTTCCCTCCAACATAAAATTACTCAAGGAAAGCTGTTGGCCACCTGTTAGGAGCCGTTCGCACCAGTCAGTGTGCGAACGAGGAAAGAGGCGGACCCAGGTAGCCGACTTCGGTGTAAGCAGTGATTTATTATATACAGTGAACAAGGGAATGACAAAAACACAGAGGGAAATGATACGTAGTCCTGTAGATGAGTAGTAACCGGGTGTCTGACCAACAGCAGGAGGCGAGGAGATGGAGAGCTGGGCCGAGCTGCGTAGGTGGAGTCACTCATGGGATGGTCGACGGTGATGGTGGCTACTGAAGGTAGGGACAGAGAGATGGAGGCAATAGTGGAAAAAGATAGGTGACTGTGCATTGACCTGCCTGGGAGGAGAGAGTGGAGCCATGGTCTGGAGGAACAGTCCTTCGGGGAAACACAAAACAAGCTGGCTAGGGGATAAGGACATACAAAAACAATGAAGACGCACGAAGAAGAATTGGCCTAGTGACTAGAAAGAACTGGTCAGTGAAACCGGGTAATATAGTGAGTGACCTAATCAAGTGCAGCTGGTGATAAGAGAGTGAGGAACAGGTGAACGTGATTAGTGTAAATGGGCAAGAGACAGTAGGAAAGGTGAGGGAGGCCAGAGCGGCCGAGCAAACCTGACACCACCAGGCTTCGCAGGTCCTGCTGCCTCGCCTTGGGGCCAGACTTTTCACCTCTTGTGCATGTCTTCTAAGTGAGAATTAAAAAATTAAGTTCTGCTGCTTATCAAAGAACATCAGACTTGAGTGACCAAACTTTTAGCAGCGGTGTGAAGATGTTGAACACTTCTGATCCTTTGCTTCCTGTTTTTCACTCCCCTCCATAGTGTAACATCTGTGACAGAGATATCACTGTCTCAGGTCAATATGGTGTGTGATTAGCTTCCCAACCACCCTGATGTATTTCCCTGTGGACATATGCAATACGTAGATTGACACTGTAACTGTGCAGCCGCTACCTGTGGGACACTCTCACCAGCAATAGA